GTGTGTGTGTGTGTGGGTGTGCGTGCGTGTGTGTGCATGTGTGTGTGTGTGTGTGCATGTGTGTGTGTGTGTGTTCCTAACTGATGTGATTGTGAGTGTTTTGGATACTTCATAATGTTAACTTGTTCAGTTTTTTTGAGTGAAAAATCCCTCTGAAAAAATCAAAAGATGCAATGAGCTCAGCCAGTTCATCACTCAGACAAATTTTCTTCCCTTCTACCGTTCGTTTTCAGTATGTTTGTGTATATTTCAATCTATTCTTCTCAAAATCAACTGCAATGCCAATTTGTCATCTCAATTTTTTTCTGAAAACTTTGTGTGAGATATTTTCGTTGGCTCATATAGCATATGTTACTATCAGCTTAGCGTAGATTTTGCATAATTTTCCACTGGTCTTTTGTACACAATAACAAATGGTGAATGGATAATGCATTTGTAAAGAGATTTGCAAAGATATTGTGATATTGGGGATTCTTGAAAGTTTGTTGCACTGGGACATGTATGTAGAGGGATGAAATTTTGAATGATTGGCTTCAATTATGATATTACAGTAAATAAAATAGCTCAGCCTTGTGATTCAAGTATCGCGAATAACTCAATGAACTCATATAATGTGAATGAGTTGTTATCGTTATTTGTACTACTGAAAATGTGGTGTTATCAACAAGCCTACGAGTTCAAGGCGTTTAGATGGATTAAAGGCTTGCGAAAGTTTGAAAACTTTGATTTAGTGCTTTGCACTTCATTCCACTTTTGCATCTGAAAAGAATTATTTAAATGAATGAATGAAAAGCTAGCTATCTGCAAGTAACGAATGATTCGAACTGATCTGAGCCAAAGAATTTGCAGTCATTTTTTGGAAAGGACTGAAAGTAGTGGAAATGTTTCAACTGCAGTCCATTTTGCTGCTAGCTCTCAACTGTTATGTAAGCATTACGTTTTACTGCCTGTACACGAACTACAAAATAGTATTAATGACTGAGAGTTCAAGGCATTCCTCATCAAGTACTGTTTTTGAAACTCAAATTATTTGATTACCATTTATGATTACTATTTAATTTAGGAGCACAGTGCATGCAGTGTTTGCATTCGGAATTGATATCATTCAATAAGTCTTGTTACTTTACAGCAGTTTAATTCTAGAAAATTTCTTTGCATAAGTAATTATTTGCCTATAAGCAAAGTCAGTGGTGATACAGCTTTGAAAAGTAGAACTCTCGTCGGACTTTCACAAAAATTTCTTCCTGAACGGTTACAAAATTCTTTCGTGTTCATATTGCCAACATTTTCATCTATAAATAATACACAAAGTTATAGGCGAATTCTTGTCTTACTCCTCAAAAGACATTATTGTTTCTTGATTAATTGTATTAGTTAGGTTTGGTGCATATTTGAAGCAGAAAAAGACCACGAAAATGAGATGATAGAAATTGTGGAAGACAGAAAGATGATGGGTATACGTGAAGTAGTGCGTGTGAATTCGTTACAAAGTTGCATCAAGCATTGTGGCACGTGTTCCGGATTAGTACATTATCCTGATAACGTCTGTGTGATTTTCAACCATTATAAGCGAATAGTTTTATCGTCTTTTGGGGCCACGTGCTGTTCAGCTGTAAATGGAAAAATGCAAATGAAATGTGTTCATTGCGATGGAGCCAATTCTGACCAAAGTGATTTTTTTTCTTTGATTAGCTTAATAGATAAAATGAACCGCAAGGTTTCTATTCACGTATGAAAGCAATCAGTAAATTTTTTGCTTGTCCAGTTTCGCTATGGTAGGTTACAGGAAGTGATATCTGTCTCACTGATTGATAAGAGCTCTTGAAACAATGATATTTTTTCGAAAGTTAAGTGAATTTATCATTAAGACATTAAAAGGGAATGAAAATATTCAGCTGCAGTGGAAGGACTGACAAATATTCTTAACGTTTGGACGCGTAATCCAGTGACAAATTCAACATATAAAGTAAGGAAGCCAAAATCTTACTGCATAGAAAGTTAGGTTATTTATCATTAAAGATTTGTTTGAAAAACATGCTTAATATATACCTAGTTATGAAGTTATTTCCATATGAATGAAAGTATATTTGAGATCATTCCTTACGATTGTCAGCAGACTCCAATTACATATGAGGAGCAATGCGAGCAGGAGAGTGGTCATTTGGCATCAATCCACTCGGCAGAAGATGATGCTTTTATCAGTGGTAATTCTTTTAATTCTGTACTGTCAAATTTACTTCTTTTCCTTCACAAAAATCACTTCTGTTCACAGTTTTGGTTTGGGATCCGAAAACTAGTTAAAAAATGACACATATCCTACAGTTATTGAAGTGACAATTAGCAATTATGTTGAGGTCTTGCTATTCGAAGTTGTGTTTGCAAGCATATTGGATTATATTCTACGTCATCTGACAATAAAGTGTTTTACTGGCGAGATGGCACTCCGGTAGATTACATAAATTGGAAAAAAGATGAACCGTACGGTAAAGGGCCTCTTTGTGCATATATTTGGAAAAAAAATGGATGGATGAGCGGAAAATGCAATAATACAAACGAGTGCTGCGCTGTTTGTCAAAAGACGTGACGAGTGTTCGTCGATGAACGTGTAGCAATTTGTTTCATGTTCAGAAATGTGAAGCAGATGCGTGTTTTGTATCTTTTATAAGCAAAAAGAGATTAAAAAAAGAGGAGGACCATGGTGATTACTGAAACATCCTTGTTTTGCATTTTGATCTAAACAAAAAAAATAATAATTGACGTAGAATTTAAGATGGATTGATTCGATTTTGAACTAATACTTACTTGCAAAGTGTTTTGCTTAAAAGTTATCATCAAGATGAAACATAAACGCCAACAAGTCAGCCAGTTCTTGAAGCACTCCAATATCTGCTGCAACCTCGTTTGAAATGTCATAAAAGTTTAGGTCATCGAACTTCACCCATCTTTCAAAAAATAAAATTCAGTTTGTAAATATGCGCACACATCTTCAATATACAGATAGTATGAATACACACCAGCCAATATCATTTTAGAAGTCAGAGCCTTCTTTTCACGTCATGACAATATCGTGAACGAGAAGCAGACAGTCATGGAAACGAAAGCAACATTTGCTAATTTGTAATAATAATAATTTTAAATTTCGTTTCCTTCTCTATCTTCGAATATATATTTTATGACACTTGCAACTAATTTATTTTAAATTCCACAAAACTTCTTCTTACTGCAACATCAAATTCGCTGGTTGCGTAGAAACGAAGCGCTTAGCTTGACCAGAGTTAATTAATCCATTTTCATGCAAAAAATGATAAGTTATTGGGAAGCCTTAACATCCTTTCCAAACGTAGCGCAAAACCTGATGAATCTGAAATTCCAATTGGACTTTTTGGATGTACCTGCAGTAAGAGAGGCTTCTATTTAATTCAATCGTCTTTTTATGAAAAGAAACATTTCCATTAAAACACATGAGTTGCTTTCACTCTCACATTTCTCAAAAGACGATTCCAACATTACTTTGTTCTCACTAAAATGGGATTGAATTAGATAGAATAGAACAGTCTTCCGGACAGTTTCTGAGCAAAAAACTACGCATATACTACTCGTGTATGCGTACGTGTGTACGTGTGCGTGCCCAAATGAAATTCTTTGGTCGATCAAGTGTAATAAGCAACGTCAGAACAAGTTACACCGGGCAAACTTTGTTCACAAGCAGCAATTACAAGAACAAAATTCATTACAGTATAATGTTACAGTATTTCGATTAATAAAT